GAAATGACTCTGAAATGGGCAGGAACCAGAGGAGGTGAGCCAGAAGACACATGGAGGTCACATCTCAGGAACAGGCTGGTAAGGTTGCCACCAGTAGCATTACGCACCCTGGACACTCTACCTGCTGATCCAGAGGCCCGAGGTTCCCAGTGCCCCTCCACGGGTGTTCGGCAAGATTACATTATCTCATCAGACCCTTCTGATTCTGAGTCTCTTCTGCATTTCACAAATGGGGACTGAGGCTCAGAAGCCTAAAGTCACACAGCCAATGAATAGAGTTGGTGGAATAGGAACCAAGGTCCTCCTGACCCCACAGCCTACGGCTTCCCTGTTGTCTCTAGGGCACCACTGCCTTTCTTCCCGTGACAGCGGGGCTTTCTGGGTGGTGCTGCACATTTGTGGTGAGGTCATGCCCTGACATGTGTGGACCAAAGCTACTTGCTAGGCATTGTAGATCAGAGGTTCTGGATCCTGGAAAACAAGTGCTTGCCCGAGGCTCTGAGAGGCATGCAGAATCTAGTCAGGGATTCCAGGTTCTCCACCTGCCCCTTCTGGAGCCCATGTTGCATGGCTGCCTGTTACCACCCAAGGCGGGCTTGGTCAAGGACACCCAGTGTTCATCTGCTCTTGAGTCCACCCCACTCCCGAGGTCACAGCTGCCCCCAAGACTGTTCCCCTCCTACCCCCTGGATGGCATGACTCCTGCCAGGACCAAAAGATTCCCCTACTAGTATGCCTTCCTCAGACCCAGATGCCCAGGAGTAGAAGGCAGAGCTCCCCACAGGAAACCCGAGTACCAGTCCTGGTCCAAGCACCACCTCTCCTGCCCTGTGACCTTGGCTGGATCATTTCACCTTGCCAGGGTTTGCGTACCCCGCACCTCCGTCCCTCTCCACTGCCCAGTGCTCCACTCTCCCACTGCCTGCATCAGCCAAATTGTTTCATAAAAAACGAACTCAGGGTTCTTTGAGCTCTTTGGAGAGACCACATAAATGCAGGGCATTATTAGCATCATTACTATTAAATATTAATAATGACATTAGCATTGTCTATTATAAGCCTGAAAAAAAAGGCTTCAAGAGCCATGGGTTGAAATGGCAAAGAGAATAATTAGGCCCCTCTGGGCTACAGACCCCTCCAGGCCTTTAAGCAAAATGAGAAAGACCAGAGCAGACAGCGCCCTTTCGGCACCCCTGCTCCATCAACGTGGCTCCTCCAGACCCTGCACAAACCATGCTCTTCCCAGACGCCAGCATTCCTGGCTCCTGCATCCACTCCCCTCTGTGTATCCAGGCCCAAGCCAAGGCGCACCCTACCTCACCTCACTGAAACCTCACCCCTTGCTCGTCCCCTGCCTCCGCATCCTCACTGTCTTCCTCTCACCTAGTAGGTGACAAACACCTCCTGGGTCCTTCCCACTGAGCAGACTCTGTGCTAAGCAGGAGGGTGGGAGCTGGGAAATACAGACCTGGCTGTAGTGACCCTCCCTCCAGAGACTGCAGAAGCCAGGGAATGATGATCCAGATTTCAAATGGCACCTACGATTCACAAAGTTCTTTTAAAAATCATTATATTGAACCCAAATATCCTTACTACTATCCTAAGTGGGAGTAGGACCATTCCCATTTTACTGATGAAATGCATTCTCAAAGCTACAAAGTGTTGCTCAGTGACCTTCCCAATGCCATCCAGGTAGGAGTAGCAGAGCTGGGACAGAGTCTGTTCTCTTGATGACAGGTCCCAGAGCCAACCCAACCATTGCACAGACAGAGGCTAAGCAGAAGGGGCTCAGCCTCATGGGCCCACACCCTTATTTTACAAAAGAGTCTGAATCCCAGAAAGGCCAAGGGACAGGTGCCAACACCTGCTGAGCAGCTGCCACACTGAATCCTTCCTGTGTAATTCTGTGCTTACATCGGCTTGGCAAGGTGTGTCTCAAACCCCATATTCTGAACGAGGAGCGGAGTGACCCACCCCTGACCACACAGCTCTGCAGTAGCAGGACTGAGTGCTACACTCACATGTCTCAGCGTTTTGTTTCCCTCTCCTGGAGGGCAGAATGGAGAAGAGGACCCTTTCTGTTTTGTCAGCCCTTCTCTCCAAAGCTGCCAATGGACAGTCCCTTCCTGCTATCGGGCTGCTTCCAGAAAGGTTAAGCATACTTTGAAGACAGACGTCTTTCTCTGGCACTCAAATGCCTCCCCATTCTAGGCAGAGATGCTGCTCCATAAACATGTGGCCTCTCGGCAGCTCTGGAAAACAGTGTGAAGCCCACAACCAGAGGCCCAGTGCTGGTGCCCAGAGAAGCCAGGAGAGGAGGTGTGCAGATAGGTACCATGTCAGGGTCTCTCCTCTCTCCCCACTCATCCCCTGGACTGGGCCAGGGGCCCCTGTTGACCCCTTAGAGGCCCTCTGTACCACACTGCTGCTGACCTGCAGAGGTTGCAGCAGGGATAAACAGACAGGGTCAGGTGGTCCTCTAAATGCCCTCTGAGCCTCCTCATGGACAGTCCACGTTTACAGGCAAAACAGTGGTCATTTGTTCAGCCACCTGACCATCTTCTTCACCTTCTACCTTGCCCCGTTCGGGACTCAGCTTGGAGATGGGGTGTGGACAATATGGAGTTGGATTGATTCACCACACAGAGGAAAGTTGCCCTGAAGCCCAACCACAACAAGGACTCCAGGCTCTGGAATCCAGGCTCTGGAAAAAGAGGAAAGGGTTCTGTCCTCCATCCTGCTCGACCTCCACCGGAAGAGGGAACAGTGGGGTGGCTGACTTTTGCCGGACAGGGCTAAGCCGGGAGGCTGCTGCCAGAGCTTTCAGCCCTGCCACGCTACTGGCTCGCTGCTCACTGCGAGCATGTTCCTGACTGCTGCTGCATGTCAGCTGGTGGATGTGGGCGTAACAGTAATGACAACATGTGCCTCGGGGTGAGCACTTCAGGTCAAGCCAAGCGCTCGTCCTGAAGTTTGAGAGACATTCGAAACAGGTGCTACTTCTTTCATCAGCCTAATGGACCCCACAACAAAACTCAGCCTGGACCCCCAAACACTCACCCCATGCTCTCCTCAAAACAAGAGCATCTCTGAGGCTAGCACTGAGGATTGCCAACACCCACACACACAGAGAGACACACATCTGGGTCAAGCTCCCCTGAGAAGACAAAACTCTGAGAACTGTCCCACCAGATTCTGGTCTGGCTTAGTGAATATTCTTGTTTTCACTTATTGTGCCTGCTGAGGTCCACCCGGAATGGAGCAGCCTGGTGGCATTGGGATCTGAGTCTCTGAGAACAAAGTCCCTGCACTAATGGCCTTCCCCAAGGACCTGGGCCCACCGCAAGACCAGCTGCAGTCTTAAAATAGAGTCACATAGACCGTTGACTCCTGGGCCAGCTGATCTTCAGGCCTGATGCTCCCAGTAGTAGGAGCAGCATTCCCAGACAAGGGCCCTGCTCCTGCCAGGTTCCACAGGGGGAGCCCATGCAGAGCTTGTCTGCACAGCAGGGCTGACTTGGGGAGTCAGCAGAAGCCCAGGGCCAGTATGCCAGCAAATAGCATGACAGACAGACAAGACCATGAGGGCAGGGGCAGGAAAGGGAAGGACACCCTGGAAGGAGGTTAATGTGCTTGTCTTTCCAAAGCAACATTCAAAGGTATCCGAGAGTTATCCTTGGCAAAATCAGATGTCTCCACATCAGGAGCAAAGAAGATCAGCTCCCAAGTTGCCCGAGCCCATGGGAGGGGGAGGTGAAAGATGGGGAGGGAGCAGCCACTCAAGGGGTAGAGCCTCCCCTTCTCCTTTTCTAGGTCATCTGACTCGGAAAGACACAGAGCACTGCTCCATGCTTGACAGGTAAGGCATTGAACGCTCAGGGGCTAGCCGGCCCTGCCAGCTGTTGATGCATCTGGACTGCCCACCAGGCTTGCCACACACACGGGACAGCAGGGAGACCAGAGGAGGGTGAGACAACAGTGACAGCCTGACAGGACCGACTGATGCTGCAGATGGCTGGTCCCTCTGCCTCCAGGCCCTAGCTGTGCTGGGCTCAGCCCCGCATGACAGGAGCAGCCCAGGAGAGAGACATTGCCACTGACCAGCCCTGTGAGAGGCATCACAATCTCAGAGCTGGCAGGGACCTTGGCTATGTTGAACCCCTCAGGTCACCAGCGAGCCTCAGAGAGGGCAAGGCACTTAGCCAGATACACACAGCCAATCAGTAGCAGAGCCCAGAAAGCCCTTCGGGCATTCACACCCCGAATCCAGTGAGATGTTCATGACATCATGCTGCCGGTTGATAGAAACGGGCTTGGATCCATAGGCACTGATGTGCGGAGCTGTCCAAGGCCAATTACACAGTTTTAAAATATTTTGCAATCATGATGTACAAAGTGATCCCATTTTCATAAAACCACACTAACTGTAACTTGTACACAGAAAAATAACAAATCTGGAGACAGGTACTGTATTTGAATTCGGTGAGCGTGGTGGGCAAGGGACTTATGCTATCGATTTTTAAATTTCTTTCAGGGCTTAGATATTTTGACCAAAAGCTTGAGCTGCTTTTGAGCAAGGAAACAATGAAGATGAACATAGCAGGTGCACGCAGGCACCCTCTCCTTCTCCCAGGAAACTGGGGATTTCTGATTGGGAGCCCTCCCTTCCAAGAGGGGGTTTCTGGGTGAAACAAGAAGTTTGGGCTCCATGAGTCTCCAGGGTCTGAGGAGCAAGAGACACTTTCTTTGTCCCTCCTCCATCACCCCTCTCTAGCCCCTTAGCTTTGGGCTGGGCAGGAAGGGGGGCCGCGGGCCAGACAGCGCCCCGCGGCCGGCAGCCCAGCAGCTGCCCATGCATTATGGAAGACAGGCGCTGTGCTTGCTCCCTGGTCCTTAAATGACAGCAAATGAGGTAGAGCCAGGAGGGTGGGGACGGAAGGGGGCGGGAGGGGGGCCGAGGAAGCCATCTCCAGGGCCCCGAGCGTTGGCTGAGGACCGGAGCCAGCCAGTGAGCGGAGGCTGGGAGAGGGAGGAGCAGATCTTGATGCAGAGATGCTGCAGTGGCTCTGGGAGCGCACACACGCGCGCCCTCACTGCCACCGCCGCCGCCGCTGTGGCCGCCGCTGCACCAGGATAGCCAGCGACTGAGGCCGGCAGGGGCCTCCAGCAGCTGCCCGAGAGTTGGCTGCGGGGCCGTCTCTGCTCACCAACCCCAGCAGCATTCACCTGCCCATCCAGCCCCTTCCCTCACTGCAGGTAGGTGCCAAGCGCTTTTGTTTCTCCATCCCAGGGGCTTCCTAGGCACTGGGAGGTCAGGGGCTCCATGCCCAGCCCCTAAACACCCCATCTGTAACTTGGGAGGGGCCAGGGGCAGACAGGGATGCCCACCTGGCAGGGGCCAGTTTGACTTCTCACCCCAGCCCCAACCCGGCCACCGGACCCGACTGGCTCTCCCCACCCTGTCTACGTGGGCAGCATTCTCCAGGCTGAGCCTGCCCAGGAAGCTGGCCCCTGGGAGTGTGTCCAGGAATTCAGCTGGCCAGCTGGCCACAGCACCTGCCTGAGGACAGGGCAGAGGTTCCTGGGCCCACCCTGGCACCCCAGTCCGGTGACAGGCCAGTCTGGAAGGCCAGGCCCTGGGCCCTGACCCGCCCTGAGAAGCCCTGGATACAATGGAGCCTAGGTTCTCAAATTTGAGGTCAGCTGGGGGCTGCCTCTGCAGGGTGACCTCTTTGCAAAGTCTTGCCTCACTTGGACAGAGAGAGGGGCTGGGGAAGAGAGAGGAGAGAGTAGAGCACAAGTTTGGGCCAAGGCCTGTCCAGGAGCTTCAGTCCAGGGAGGAGAAACTGAGGCAAGCCACTCTCAGGTACGAGAGCCTGGAACACTGGGACTGTGATTCCTTCTCTTCCCCTCCCCCTTCCTCAACCTTGTCTTCTCCACAGATCTCTCCCCCTCAGCTTCATCGGTAGGAGGAAGGATTTTCTCAAAGTTGGGCTTTCCAGGGGGTTTTAGAAGGAGTAAGCAAGCCCAGCGCCCAGCGCTATGGGCCTAACTAATGGGCCAGAGGTGGGGAAGCAGCAAGTGACCCTGTGAGTGGCCAGAGCTGAATCCTGTCACCTTCTCCAACAGGAGCTGCCAGGTCCAGGAAGTGAGGGTTTCCAGTGAGGCAGGGCCTGCACAAGGAGAGTGTCCTGTGCTGCACTGGGCAGCGCGGCGCACCGTGCTGCTCCCTCTTGCAGGGGGCTGGGCCAGTGTACCCAGGGAAGGGCTGTCAGTCAAGGTTGTCTGGAGGTTTGGGAATCCAATGTGAACAGAAGAAATGGGCTGCACGCACCACCGCCCCAGCCCTGGACGAGGGTGGGTTTGAGCACTTTTTCTCTCTGTCCAAGAGGAAACAGGAGAAAGAAGAGCCCAAGCGTCTGGTCCCTCTCCCCAGCCTCTGGCCAAAGGGACTCTCACCCGCTTAGCCCCTCCGTCTCTCTGGTGCCTGGTCCCATGTCCCACTGGAAGGGATCCAACCAGGCAGGGGAGGTCAAGGGCAGCAAAGAATAGGCGATGTACGGGAGCCACTGGAGTGGCCGAGACTCCTGGGGGTGGGGCAGGGCGATAGCCAGGAGATCAGCACAGGTCCCCTCTCTCCTGGCCTGGGCTGCCATCCACCCTTCCCCATGGGGCCCACCCATTAACCACTTTCTAGCCAGGCCCAGGCAGAATCATTCGCGGGGCTTCTGCCCTAAGGTCAAAGACCCTTCAGATGTCCCACAGGAGTTTTCCCCAGTAACAGGGAGGCAGGAGATGAGGCAGACAGACCAGGGTCCCTGAGCTGATGGTGTCAAAGTCACCAAGGTCCACCTGCTTTCTGTGGGAGCCACTGCCATCTCCCACTAACCCCTAACCCTAAGTGTCAAGGGGGCAGAGGGCCAGGAGAGCAGAGCATGATGCCCCCAGAGATGGGCGGGGCTTCAGGGCCTGAATGCTCCCTCCATCTCCCCATCTGGCCAACCCCTTCCCTCTCGCCCCTCCTCTGCTCACATCAACTCCTCTGGCTTCAGATCTCACTCCTATCAAACCCCAACCGGCACTCTCTTTTGCCAGTGCAGAGACGCTGTGGGATGGGCTCTGAGCAAGTGCGCACCACGGGAGCGCAGACACACTGCCTGTCTGATGGGACTTGCTCCTGAGGAGTAGGGTCACAGCCCACAGTACCCTCTGCTCAGAGCCCATCAGTGCTACCTCTTGGGGGTTGTTGGGAGATGCATGGTCCGTCTGCCAGAAACTTTTTCAAGCCAAACGTTGGCAAAAAAGGACATTCAAAAACAGTCTGTAAGCCTAAGTGTGAGTGGTGTTCGTATTTTTTGGAGGGATTCCTAGGGCAGGACCAGGTTGTCAGGAAAGAGGGAAGAACTGGAGCAAAGCATACCCCAGTGAAGCAGAAGGATGTAGGTCAGACTGAGGGCCACACCTCCCCAGCAGGAAGGTGAGCAATGGGGCAATCTTCTTGGGGATGATGACTCTAAAGACGGCGTGGAGGCCTGGGGTCTGGTCCAAGGTTTGAGTCTCCCTAGAGGCAGCGGTTGGACGGTGACCTTTGAATTCCTTCTAGCCTCCAGTCATCCTCTTTCGCCCAGTTCCTGACTGTGACTCAGGAACCCATAAGATAGCTTTGCTTCCATTTCCCCCTGCATACCAGATGTTTCTCACCCTTCAGGAGGACCACTTCCCCCAAAGTAGACCGCATTCCTAGGGCTGCTGCTACCCTGGAGAATTCCTGGGACTTCTGTGTGCCCAGCGTTCCAGGTATTACCATCCCAGAGTGAAGAGGGCCCCTTCTGTGATTTAGTGAGTCCTTGCTACAGAATTAGGCCCAGTTTCTTTGTTTACTAAAAGGGATGCAAACAAAAGCAAAAGCATGTAACATTCTCACCCCAAACCCGAGTACCTTCCTGCCTAGGATAACTCAGCTCCAAGTGCACCTCAGCATCCTTCTCATCTCAGGAGCAACTGGGTCCCCTACTTAGATGTGAAAGCCAACCCTGCCCCTCCCAAGAGGCACCCAACCAGGCAAGGCCTTCTGGGTCTCCTCCAGCCAGAACCCACATCCTCTCCATATCTGCCAACCCAAAGACCTCAGGCTTCCCCCACCTGCCAGAGTGCAGCCGTCCTGCCCTGCAGTCCAAGCTTCTGCCCTGAACCCACCTGCAGGAAACTGTCTGAGGCCTGGAAAGGAGTCTCCTCTCAGCAGAGATAGAGGAACATTCAGACAGTGCTTTGCTGATATATGAGGAAATTTTCTCCTTGATTTGGTTCCTCAATAACAACTCAAAACAACTATCCTTGCTCCTGGCATGTTGAAAAAGGGCCCTTCTGGGGCTGAGGGTGTAGGTCATTGTCCCGCATCTGTCCAGCATGTGTGAGGCAAGGCGGCTGGGAGCTGGGAAGGAGAATCTCTTCCTGAGAGCCCATGATCATGTCCCAGCTGGGTCCCTCCCCAGCACATCGTATAGGGGACAATGCTCCCATGGACGTGTTCATGTGTCCCAGCCTGGGATGACTACTGGTGCTCGCCTAGGTCCTTCCACCTGTGGCATGTTAGAGGAGGAAGGTGCCTGCCCAGGATGGTGGATATGTCAGCGTCCTAAGCTCATGTGAATATGGCAGAGTGATATGACAGTGACAGTAATCCTGACTCGTGGATGAGCAAGGTTGCTTGGGACACATGGGCTGGGAGCATCCTCAGCTATAAAGTTTGCTCTTTCCTGAACACTTAAAATGGACCAGGTATGACTCTAACCTCATAACACTATAGTGCCTTAAAGCAGGTCCTACCCAGCTCTTCTTCACTGTGCAGATGGGAGACTGAAGCTGTTATGTTCTAGGGTCACAAGAACTAGTAAACACCAGACCCGCTGACTCACTAGCCTGCCCTATCTTAATATCCTGTGCTGTGTACAGGATAAAGGCCAAGGTGCAGACCCCAGGAGCTCCTGCAATTCTTTGAAGACTGGGAATAAATCATCTCTGCCCTCAACTGGGCTCCAAACCCCCCCTTTTCCAATCCACCACTCTTCCAAGTTGCCAGATCCCTTAATGTTTCAATCTCCATTACTGGAGGAGGAGAGGTAAAATTGGGGCCAGGAACTGGCATCCCAAGAGACAGCATTTGGAGGAGCGCATCTTTTCTCCTCTGAGTGGCTCCACGCAGCGGTCCTTAGCCCAGGAAATCCTGTCGTGTGCTGGAGCCTAGCTCACAGCCTGCTGTCCCCAGGCCCTTTGTTTCCTGAGCTCAGAACTCCTGCAGCACCCCTGAGTCCCCAAGTGGCCTGTTCCCCATGCACTGGAACCTCACAGGATCACTCCCCAATGGTGACAGCCTGTACCCGACCGTGCCAGTCTGTGCTTGCACCCCTGTGCCAGGGCAGCTGGCCTGGGTGAGGCTAGGCTGGCTCAGAGTTGGAGGAGGCTGCTCTGGCCCTGGCATAGCTCCACTCAGCCTTGCTCCTGACAAAAAGCCTCTGCCAGCCTGGGCATTCTAGAATGTGTCATAGGGCAGATGGTGAGGGGAGATGAATGGTCTCTGTGATTGTGAGCACATCTTATGGCCACCCTTGGTTGGTCAGGGAGCCCCCCAAAGGGTGTGTCTTTATCACCAGCTCCCTGTGCCCAGCATGGTGCCTGGTACAGGATTAGCACACACAATAATGAAATGAATACAGGGCAAGACCATATGCTCATCTGTAAGTGCACCGTGCATGTGTGCGTGCGTGCATGTGTGTGTGTGTGTGTGTGTGTGTGTGTGTGTGTGTGTGTGTGTGTTCATTCATGCAAGGCCTTGGCTCAGTGTACATCTGATCAGGCTGACTGGTCTCCAGTGCCCCCAAAGGCCATCCAAAGTCCTTCTTGACCCCACATACATCTCCTCTAAGACTGCAGATCTTGGTCCCCAGAGGGTCCCCAGGACCTTCAGGCTGAGGAGATGGCTGATAAAAGCCTGGATTAAACTGAAGTTTAAAATGAGCTGGGTTGGGTTACCTATGATCAATAGTAATTATCTATGGTGCTAGAAACAAAGGAAAATTGTGACCACTGCAGGATGGAGGTGACCACTGTGACGTCCATCTCTGCCTTGCTCTGGCACATTCCCAAAGCACCTACAGGCCAGGCCCCTCACAGGCTGGCCCCAGCTCTGCATGGAGCTCTTGGCACTGGCAGACTGACAGAGGGCCGAAGCAAATGATGATGGAGCATCTTCTGTGTGCCAGGCCCCAGTTTGTGGCACACCAGTGCCAAGGGGGTGGTTTTCAAACTCTTTGGAGAGATTCTCTCTCCACCAGGCAACCTCCTGCAAAGTCTAGTAGAGGAAGCAGAGATAAGTGGAGCTGTTCCGCAGCAGCAGGGAGGGGCCTGGGGCCCAGTCCTCTCTCCCACTCTCCCAACTATGGTCCCAGAGCAAGTCTGAGCAGCCTCAGGCCTCACAGCGGCTTGAGAACCATCCTGGGGCTCCACTGCCAAGTGTGCTTTATAATCTCCATGAGGCAGATGAGAGAAACTGAGGCTCACAGGGGACAACCTTGTCCAAGAAGCTCACAGAGCTGTACAGAGATGAGGTCATGTCACCCATCCCTGTTCATGCAGACCCCGCAATTTTCCATCTATCTCCAGGCCTCCCTTTTCTGAGGAGCACTCCTGCATCTGTATGGCACTTAGGGGCACACTTCTGAGACCGCCCTGCTGACCCTAGGGACGTGTGTGTGTGTGTGTGTGTGTGTGTGTGTGTGTGTGTGTGTGTGTGTTCATGCATACACCTACCAGCTCCTAGAAGAATAGAAGCACAGATGTTCTCAATCAGTTAAATGTGACACACAAGTAACACTTTCTGTGTGCCAGGCACTTTGCTAGAAACAGGGATACTAAGATGTACATGGCATGGTCTCTCGCCTTGGGGAGATCACAACCTTCTAGGGGAGACATCAGCTTCATGGGCAAGGCACCAAGAGTGTCACCAAGATCAGACCTGGAAGTTGGATGTGGTGGCACACCCGTACAGTCCCCACAACCGGGGGCAGAAGGGGCTGTGGCAGGAGGATTGCAAGCTGGAAGCCAGCCTGAGAAACTTAGTGAGATCTTGTCTGAAATGTAAAAAAAAAAAAAAAAATTAAAACTGATCAGAGCTGAATTCTAACTGTGTGCAGACGGGCGCATGTTGGGCACTCCCCAGCAGGGGTGGGATGTGAACAGGCCCTTTCTCGGGAGGCTCCCTGGACATCACCTGAGAAGGGGTGGTATGTGGGCGGATTCGGAGGGGCTGGGAACCCCAAGTCTTGGGATGACAGTGGCAGGAACAGCAAGGGGCGCCCTTCCAGGCATGTGGGGCTGGGGTTTGGGTGGGGAGGGAGGGCCGTCTGCTCACCACTGCCTCCCTAACTCCCGATTCTAGGCTCCACCCAGCCTCCCTTGCCACTGCCTCCCTGGCAGGCCCTGGGGCCGCTTCTCCCCCAACACCCAGTTCCTGCAGATGCCAGCAGCTGCTGAAATGGCAGAGGTCATGGGCGTCCTGTCCCTGCGGAGTTCTTTCTAAAGGGAGGGTGTGAAGGAGGCAGGGTGCACCCTGGGCTCTGTCCCTCTTAGTGCCTGCATAGACAGAATGCGGGCTTTGGGAGCTCCGGGTCTAACCAGGTCTCTGCTGTGCTGCAAAAGGGAGGCTGCTTTGGGGGCTGCATTAACCTCAGCCTAGAAGGTCCGCCGGGCCATTAGCCCACCTGGCCCAAGCATGGCTAATGGGGCCAAGCATTTAAATGCCTTACCTGGGCACTCTGGCCAGAGGCTGTGGATAAATCACGAGAGCCCTTCTCACTGCTAGAAAAGTGAAGTGGTCTCAAGATACTTAATGCAGCTCCCAGAGGCGCTGTTTAACCCCACCCAGGTGACTGTAGGGGAGAGGTAGAGGGAGGAATCAGCCCTGAACCCGAGTAGCCAGAGCATGATGTCACTGGTCCCCAGCCTAGGCACAGGCCCTGTGCCTGGACCCTACATCAAGAGCCATCATCAAGGAGCGAGCAGGTGGGGTTTTGCCTCCCAATTAGTCCCTGCTCTCACTTCCTGAGCAGCACCCGGCTGGCTGGCGGGGGCAGCCGGGAAACAGGGCAGACTCAGGTTCCCAGGGGGGCGGTAGGAGGCACTCAGCCTGGGGAAGAGCTCCTTGGTAATAGCCAAGCCCTTCCCCTGGGGCCCGGGAGGATGAGTGCCTCGGCGATTCGGGAAGCAGCCGGAGCAGCCAGTAAGAGCATCGCTGACCAGACAGGCCTGGGCCAGAGGGGTGCCTCGGCCTCACTCAGAGCTCTGTCTCCTCGCAGGTGCTTCTCAGCCTCCAGCCCGGGGCGCCTCAGCTGGCCTGAGGCTCCTCTCCTCAGATCCCCTCCTCCACCTGCACAGGCCACCATGGGGACACCCCCCAGGATGAAGCCACACCTGCCGCTGCTGCTGCTGGCCACCTCAGCCCTCGTCTCCTCCCCAGGTAAGAGGGTTCATGTGGGTTCTGAGGGGATGATTATATTGTCAAATCATTGCTATGATTTGGTGATGATTATGCAAATAATTGCCTCTGTATTGTTGCTAAAAATTCCCCATTTGTGGATCTTACCTGGCCTTTGAGGTTAGGAGAGGAAATGAATCTTTGTTATGCTGTAGATGAAGGAGGAATGACCCAGAGAGGGCAAGTGGCTTACTCGGGGTCACACAGCAAGACTATGGCACAACCAGATCTCTACACTCTCAGCCTGGAGCTGTACCATTTTTGCTTTTGTGTTTTGTGGTAGGGGGGTCAAACCCTGGGCCTCGCACATGCTAGGCAAGTGCACTACGTCTGTGCTACACCCCCACCCCTGGAGCTGGAACCTAAGGCTTCACTTCCCTCACAGGACTGCAAAGCTAAGGCTCAGTTCACGTTAACGATGGTGTCCACAGCTCACTTCAAGTGCCCAGCAGTCGCCTCGGACTGCTGTAGAATCTCTGCTACAGGAGACTGCAGTGACACCCCAGGACTGTGGGGGTTCCCTCCAGGGACAGTGTCACTGCAAAGGGACCAATGGAGGGCCGGACGTGGGCCGGGCTGAGGCCCAGCAGAGAAGCCCAACTCTCATTCTGGTGCTCAGCTTGGCTGAGGGAGGAGGGCCTGGAGAAGGGAGGGAGGTGAGACACAGGGCTGAGACAGCCCTGCTCCATCTGCGGAGGTGTCCAGGACCTGCTGCTCAGGGCCCCTGTGCTATTCCATCACCCCCTTTTCCCTGCCTGGCTGACCAAGTGTTTCTTCTTCCCCCAGAAGGGTCTGCAGTGGGGAGACTTGCACCCCAGTGCCTAAGTTACTTTTCTCTTGTTGTTGAGACAAAATACCCCACACCCAAAGTTAAAGGGGGAAAGGTTTATTTAGCTCACGGTTTATAGAAGTTTCAGTCCAAACTTGGCCACCTCCCTGCACATGGCAATCGCTGAAAAAGCAACAAAGGTCAGAGACAAGACTCTGTGTCTCTTATATTGCACACAGGCTACCTGGGCTAGGGCAGATGCATGTAGCGCTTACATCCTTACCTCCAGCCGGTGCCATGCCAAACCCATCAGTGGACTGATTTATTAATCACCCGCCCTTAGTCCCAGCACCACACACTCTAGATTCAGCCACCACTGAAAAAGCCCTCTGACTGTACAAGGCTTTGTGGGGGACATCTAGACACAAACCACAACACCCTGTACCCACGCTCCACCATCCTGGGATTCCCAGAGCTCAGACTGCACCTCCCCACATACAGCACCTGCGACATCAAGCTGGTGTTCTTTGGCTCCTCGTGCCCTCTGGCACACTTCCAGTTGTTCTCCTTACGTTCCTCAGTGCCTACCAATCCTGTACCCACTTCGCAGAGGCTGCTGGGAAACAGAGCTGATCCTAAGTGTAGGAGCCCAGGTAGCACAGAACAGGAGATCCACAGAGGCCAGAGGAGAAGTGCCTGGGCTCCTCAGTGTCCCCTCCCTCGGGTAGCTTGGTGCTGGACCTGCCCCTTCCTAAGCAACGGGTGCGGCAGCATCCAGGGGCCACAGGTCCACTGCCAGAGGCCAGGACCTACACCTTAGAGAGAAAGAGAGAGGGAGATGGAGAGGGAGGGAGAGGGAGAGGGAGAAGGAGATGTGGAAAATGTCATCACTTGTCCCCACCCCTGCCAGGAAGGTGCCTCAGTCCTTAGCTCTCTTGCTGCCCTGCTCTTGGGGAAAAGCCCTGGGTTCCAGGTGCCCTAATCAAGGAAAAGCAGGGAGAGCCGTGAGACTCCTCCCTGTTCAGCTCTCTAAGCCCTTCCCCTGCGAGGTCCCAGATGCCCAAGGAAAGAGTTACCAGGACAGGAACTAGGAGCAAATCTGTGAGCACAACGAACAAGGACAGCCAGAGCTGCTTTGCCTCTGTGTGTGTGTGTGTGTGTGTGTGTGTGTGTGTGTGTGTGTGTGTGCAAACACACATGTGTGGGAAGCTGCATGTGTGGTTGGGTGTGTATGCAGCTGTGGAGGAAAGTTGGGGGTATGTGGTGGTGTCTGTGGAGGTGGATGCTATGAGGCTGGAGGCATAAGTGGGGTGCAGCATGGAGGGGCACCATGTTTTGGAGGTGTCTGGGAGCCTAACACAGAGTTGGGCTCTCCACCGCCACCCTCTGGGATGCACGAGGCCTTCCGTACAGTGCGAGCTCTGGGCCCACGCAGCTGCCACCACCACCCAGGCAGATTCCCAGGAGTTGCTAGTGACTCTGATTCCTGGCCTCTGGGGTGGAACAGGGCCTTTGATGGTTCTGATGGAAAACGTGGGTGAAGAATCATGGACATCATGTTGTGTGGGTGCCCGTGTGTAATCCCAGCACTCTGGGAGGTTGAGGCAGGGGATCGCGAGTTCAAGCCCAGCCTGAGCAACTTAAAGACTTAGTGAAACTCAGTCTCAAAATAAAATATTAAAAAGGGAGAGAGAGAGAGAGAAAGCCCTGGGTTCAATCTCCAGTATCACAAAAAGAAGAGGGAGAAGGAGAAGGATGGGGAAAGGGGAGGGGAGAGAAGAGGGAGGAAGAGAAGGGAGGGAGGAGGAGGAGAAAAGAAAGAACAAAAAGAAAGCTACCCAAGGGCAAAATCTCCTGATCTGCTTCTTGCTGTATGGGACAAATTACTAAAGCTTTCTACATCTCAGGGTCTGCACTGGTATAAAGAGAAAATGAGGAGCCTATCCTGTCGTGTTTATAAGAAGGAAACACGGGAGCAATAAGCAGCGAGGGATTGACCAGTAACACCGAGTTGTGTTATTTCTTTAATTCATGTATTTGTTGTCAATAAATAGGCCTGTGGAATCGTGCGTATAGAAATAAGTCTACCTGGCCATGTGCAGCTGCTTGGGCATAGAACAAATGCATGTGTCTGGCCATGTGAGGCGCTGCGAGAGGCATGTGTGTATTATGCATGCATGTATGTGTGACACAAGTGTGCAGGTGAGCAATGTGGTGTGCACGTGGGTATTCAGGTGACCACAGGGTGTGCACATGGCGGAGTGCAGAAGAGAAAGGTTGTACAGGAAGAAAGACAGTCTCAGAGCATGTGTGTGCCTGGGCCCCTCCTCAGCCCCCACCACCCAGACCCCTCCTGGGAGCCGCTATTGTCCGAGGTGCTTCCCAGCATCCTGGCTGCCTCTCGCCTTCTCCTTCCCCTCCCCTCCCCGTGGTCCCAGCTGGAGCAGGGGTCCCTACCCTCCACCACCATCATTAACTGGGGATTAAGCTGGGCTTTCCAGCCGAGAAGATGCCGCGGCCCTCTGCGAGGCCTGGGGCAGCAGTGAGAGAGCGGGACGGTCGAGGTAGTGGGGAGTGGGGCGGGACACCTGCATCGGTGCTTCCTGGGAGCCCTGCCTCCTCCCTCATCCTGAGAGCTACTGAACAGCTGCCCCCAGCCCCCAGGGGCCAGGCCGGGCCTCAGCTGCAGCATTGGGTCCATCCTTGGAAGAGGCTGACAGCTGGATGCACTTGGAAAGGAGGCACTAATTGGTTAATGGGGGTCCCTCCCCTCCATCTACCAAGGAGGGCTGAAGTCAACTGCACTCAGAGGTAGGGGCCACTCAGGGAGCTGGCTCCCGCCGACACCACGGTGGCCAATCCAACTGGCCCGTCTTGTGGAAGGAGTGTGAGGCACTGTCCTCTCCATACTGGGAAGACAGGAAAGTGGTACTGAGAGAGGCGTCCGCCTCAGAGCAGGGCTGCCATGCCAACTGCACCTTCATGTGTGATACCCATCCGTTCAGCAACTTCTGGAGGCCTGAGATCTAGACCTGTCTGTGTCACAGGCTTGCTGTGTGACTACAGCAGGCAAGTCATTCCCTTTTCTGAGCCCCTTGAGTTGTGACACTGAGATTTTGTAAGACTGCCACCAATCAACCTGCCGCCATCCACCCGCGGTCAGCCCTTCCTTCTCCCCCAGCTCCTGCCCACCCACACGTGGGACCAGCAGACATTTGCTGAGCGCAGGCACCCTCCACCAGCTACCTTAGCGGGTTCTGACTGAACCCTCCTGCAGGGCCTGGGAGGCAGATTCATGCTCTTTCCTGTCCACAAGACTCCAAAGCTCAGAAGGCTACCATAACCTGCCCTGTGAGGCCCAGCCCAGCTGCAGCCAAAGCGCAGCCCCATAGATTCTAGGGACACACATCCTCACTGCCCCCTCTTTTTCTGCAGTACTGAGTATTGAATCCATGCTAGGCACAAGCTCTACCACTGAGCTCAATCCACCAGCACTTCTAACTTTTTGTTTTGAGACAAGATCTTGCTTAGTCACCCAGGCTGGCTTCAGACTTCCCAGAAAGCTGGGATTACAGGCCTGCACTGCCATGCCCATCTCAGATGGACTCTCTGAGGCTTCCCAATAAGTCTCCCAGGGCTGCAGCAACTGCTTCCCAGCACCCTGGTCCTAAACCATTATTATGTCGTACACCACCTTGCACTGTCAGTTTTCTGCCCACTTCCAGTCTTCACGCTCCCTCAAGGGGAAGGTCTGAGTCTGGTTCATTTCACAGCCCAGTGCCACGTATATAGCAGGTGCTTAATACCTGAGGGTACCACCATGGGTGAGTGACTGTGCTAATCTGACCAGATGGGGCCTGCCCAGCCCAGGCTATTCAATTTCAATTTTAAGTTAATTAAGATTAAATCATATTAAAAACTCAGTTCCTCAGCTGCAGTAGCCACATCTCCAGTTCTCAACAGCCACAGGTGGCCAGTGGCCACCATATTGGACAGTGCAGAAAATGGAACATTCTCATTGTTACGGAGACTATTGCTGGATGGCACAGCCCCAGGGGCCAGGCTCCAGCTAGCCCCAGGCCCTGAGGACTCTGGTGTGTCCCCATCTGCAGCTTGGAGTCTGGCCCAAGGATCCCCAACCACGTTTGGGCCTGTCTTTGAAGACCAGCCTCTCGGTCTGCTGTTCCCAGAGGAGTCCACAGAGGAGCAGGTGACACTGGCATGCCGGGCCCGGGCCAGCCCTCCTGCCACCTACAGGTGAGGCCCCTGCAGTGGGTGCGGGGAGGCCCTCGGAAGCCATGGCTTTCTCTCAGGTCAGCCCTGCCATCACAGGGCTGAGGTCCGCTCCTCTGTCCTCTGTGGCAGGTGGAAGATGAATGGCACCGAGATGAAGCTGGAACCGGGCTCCCGTCACCAGTTGGTAGGGGGCAACCTGGTCATCATGAACCCCACCAAAGCACAGGATGCCGGTGTCTACCAGTGCCTGGCCTCAAACCCCGTGGGCACCGTGGTCAGCAGGGAGGCCATCCTCCGCTTCGGCTGTGAGACTCAGGGTGGGGCCAAGACACTGGGGGAGGGCAAAAGAGGGCAAGAAAGGTGACTGGAAGGACAGGTGGACAGCCCCAAGCTAGGTTTTCCCACCCTCGCTAAAGAACTGCAGCTTTCCTGTGGAGGATGAGGTGGGGAGGGGACCAGGCCTGGAGGACAGTGCCTGAGCCCCACCTCTGTCCCCAGTTCTGCAGGAATTCTCCAAAGAGGAGCGAGACCCAGTGAAGGCCCACGAAGGCTGGGGTGTGATGCTGCCCTGTAATCCACCTGCCCACTACCCAGGTGAGTGGGGACTCTGCAGGCGGGGACACGGGAAAGACTTCTGGATGCTCCGTGGAGGAAGGCTGGAGTAGGCAGGCAGGTGGCTAACTTTAAGTGACCTGTTTCTGTTATGTCTGCCCCTTGCTAGCTGCTCCTGATTGTAGGTCCCAAGCACCTAGCACTCTCTGAGGGCAGATTAGAGTCACATCTCTCCGCAGCCCCAGCCCAGGGCTTGGGGACTCAGGCCAGGGCCCAAAGACCACTGCCAGCATGTTAGGGTCCCACCCAGATCCCCCCTGAACCCAGAACTCCCTGGTTTCCTCCAACTCCTCACATCCTAGGCTTGTCCTACCGCTGGCTCCTCAACGAGTTCCCCAACTTCATCCCGACGGATGGGCGTCACTTCGTGTCCCAGACCACAGGGAACCTGTATATTGCACGGACCAATGCCTCGGACCTGGGCAACTACTCCTGCCTGGCCACCAGCCACATGGACTTCTCCACCAAGAGCGTCTTCAGCAAGTTCGCACAGCTCAACCTGGCTGCAGAAGGTCAGGGTCTCTGAGTGGGCACGACAGGAGGGGGAACTGAGAGGGAAAATGGGGTTCCCCTTAGAAATAGTGAAGAGCAACTCACATGGCACAGGAGTCAGGGTCTGGACCCTGGCCCTCCTGCAGCAAGGCCTCAGACCCTGTGCCAGGCCCAAGAATGGGAACAGGAGTCTCCCCAGATCCCACCCAACTGCCCAGCTGCACAAGCTCCAGCAGGCACTGCGGTCCTCCGATCCTGAGGGCTGGAGCCACACCTCCCTGGAGTCACTGCATGTGATTTGCAAGACCCTTCTCTCCCCAGATCCCCGGCTCTTTGCACCCAGCATCAAGGCTCGGTTCCCCGCAGAGACCTACGCACTGGTGGGACAGCAGGTCACCCTGGAATGCTTTGCCTTTGGGAAGTAAGTGGTGGGAGTGAGGCTCCCTAGGGTGGGACACAGCTTCCCAGGGACATAGGGTAAGAGTGGGCAAGGTCATGCACAGTCACCTCGGCCCCTCGCAGGGCCTATGAGCGCTGGACACTCTCTATAGATGAGACACCTCTCACCAGGGGTCTCATGTATGTGTCATGTGGTCCTTCGGCACACATGTAGGCTCAGATGGCTTGAGAAATCCCCAGGCTGCAGGCTATTGTGGACCCCAACCCAGCCTGCCTGGTTTAAACCCTACCTCTTCCACTTGCTGGTTAGGAGACCTTAGGTAAAACTGTGCCTCAGTTTCCTTGTTTATAAATAGTGATAACAGTAGGATAATAATAGCATCCTTGTGTGGGTTAAATGAGTATATATATATATACCATCATTACAACAGTGCCTGACATTTAGTAAATAGTCTATGAATGTTAACAGCTTTCTATTTCAAAAATTATAACAGAAAGTGTTATCTTTCTCACGCTCCCAGGAAAAGGAGTCACTGGAATTAGACTAAGCAATAGCAGATGCTCAATAAATGTTTGTGGGATGAATGAAAACATGTGACCTCAATTCCTTCATTCCTCAAATATGGGGCTGCTTTGTGAAAAGCCATTAGGCCTCCAGAAAACTCCCATGAAAAGCACATGGGAGGGCAACACTGGCCCTTTAAGACTCTCTGATTCCCAATTGGGCACAGTGGCTTGCCCCTATAATCCCAGCACTTAAGGAGGCTGAGGCAGAAGAATCACAAGTTCCAGCCCAGCCTGGTCAACTTAGTGAGATGCTGCCTCAAAACAAATTTTTATTTTTATTTTTTTAAATAAGGGGCTGAGGATGTAGCATCCCTAGGTTAGATACCCAGGACCAAACCAAAACAAACACACTGATTTGCAGTCCATTTCAATGCACAGATTACTAGTAGCTAAAGAGCCTTTCAGAAGTAGGGTGAAAGGACTCCTACAGACACAAGTCACAGGCCACATCGCGGTGAGGGCAAGCCACCTCAGCGCTGCCCAGGTTTGCGGCTTCAGGTCTGAGGCGGAGGACAGGGCAGGCCAGGAAGCTGGCTCGCGTTCTTTTGCGCTTGGACCTGGGGGAAGAGCATGAGAATGGGGCCCTGTGCCTCTGCCCGCTCCCAGGCCTGTGGTCCCCTGTCCAGCGGTGCAGCAGCCCCAGAGGGCCTGGAGTCTGGGTAACAGCAGTCCTGTACTCCAGAGAGCGCCAGCTCAGCCCGCCCCTCTGCCTCTGTCGCCCCGCCAGCCCCGTCCCCAGGATCAAGTGGCGCAAAGTGGACGGCTCCTTGTCCCCGCAGTGGGCCACCGCCGAGCCCACCCTGCAGATCCCCAGCGTGAGCTTCGAGGACGAGGGCACCTATGAGTGCGAGGCAGAGAACTCCAAGGGCCGCGACACCGTCCAGGGCCGCATCATCGTGCAGGGTACAGGGCGGGGACCCCTCGGCCTGCCTGCCCGCTGACGAAAAGGCCCGAGCTGGGAGGCTCCCTGTTGCCCCAGGGCTGCACGGGGGTCTGGAATCGCAGAGGCTACTCCTGCTGCTGTGGCCAGCTCAGAGCCTCAGCCAGGAGTGCGAAAAGCACACTGGAGGCTTCAGGACGACTTCAGTCGCTAAAACAGCCGCTGGGACAACCATGGAGTGCAATTTTCTCTCCTTTCCCCCTTTTCCCGCTTGTCTTCTCTGTCTGAGGGTGCAGGCAGCGCCCTCTGCTGTCTTAAACCAGTGCTGCAGTCTTTCTATTTCCATTCTATGAGCCGCGGCCGCTCCCGCTCATCCCAGGTTTCTCTCCCTTGCTCCTTACAGCTCAGCCCGAGTGGCTCAAGGTGATCGCAGACACAGAGGCCGACATAGGCGCCAACCTGCGCTGGGGCTGCGCAGCAGCTGGCAAGCCCCGGCCCACAGTGCGCTGGCTGCGGAACGGGGAGCCCCTGGCCTCCCAGGTAACGCCCTGGGGCCTCCTCCGGCACGACCCCCTCCTCTGCTCATCTGGTTCCCTAGGCACCCTCACGCTGCCCGGAGCACTAGCAGCCTCTCTGGGCCAATGGGATGTCATGGGGGGGATCTGGGTGCTCTTTTCCACCGGAGTCACACTGCCACAGTTTGGTCAACGGGATAGAATCTGGGAGACCGGGATGCGGGTACAACCCAGTCCCCCAAAACAGAGTGTGGTCGTCAGTGGGTCACCTGGCCCCTCTGACCTCGGGGAGGCCTGGTAATCGCAGATCCTGAGGCTCCGGGGGTCCCTGAGGCAGGACTGGATCCGTGAGCCCCATCCCAGGGGACTGTGAGGCTAGCACGCCCGCCCCCGCCTCCCCTTGTCCCTCCTCCCCTGCCGGAGCCTGACCCCCTGCCCTACCCTGCCCCGGGCCGGGTTCTCCTGCACAGAACCGCGTGGAGGTGCTGGCCGGGGACCTGCGGTTCTCCAAGCTGAGCCTGGAAGACTCAGGCATGTACCAGTGTGTGGCGGAAAACAAGCACGGCACCATCTACGCCAGCGCTGAGCTGGCCGTGCAAGGTATAGGGCCTGGGGAGGGGACTCAGTGAGTTCTGAGTTTCGGCATCTGTAACGCCCCCCCACACACACACACATACACACGTGTGCACACACACTCAAACTCACAGACACACGCGCACTCACGGGTAGGTTGCCTCGGTTTGCCAGCTGCATCTAGGAAGAACTGAGCTCAGGAAGGAGGTGAGCTCCCCACTGGGACAGGGTCTCTGATTCACCCCACGCCTGCCGCCCCCAAAGCCAATGTTTGCCACAGCAGAAAAAAAAGATGGCAAAAGGCACCGGCAACCTCATCAGTCAGGTTTGTGTTTAATGCAGTGCCTCCAGCCCTTGACCTTTGGCCGGTTACTTAATTTCTCTGCCTAGTTACTCAGTTTATCAAACATGAGGAATAATCGCCCTGTCTGCATCCTGCTGCCACAAGGAGTGAGATGAGAGAGGGGAGGCATCAAGGGCATGTCCTTTGTAGGACAGGTACTCAGCTCATGATAGCAGATGCTATTGTTTAGTTGTATAACTCAAGGCCATTGAGCCTCAGTTTCCCCATCTGTAAAATGGGTATATTGCTACCTGTCACTTTAAGTTATAGTGGGGCATCCCTAAGACTCATTCATTCATTCAACCAATACTTATTTAACACCTCCTAGAGAATGGAAACAAAAGTCTACAACTCTACCTGCAGGCAACTGGCAATCCAGTAGAGGGAGAGGGACAAACACAAACTGAAATAATTAAATAATTTCAGGTAGCATAAGGAAAATTCAGTAGTGTGAAGGTGGTAAGGTGGGTAGTTAGGTGGGGTGCCTGGAAAAGACTTCTTACGTTTGTGAGCTGAGTGTTAAGAAAAAGTCAGCCTGTGACTCTGGGGAATTTCCTGGCAAGCTTGATAGTCAGTGCAAAAGTCGTGAGGCAGGAAGAGCCTTGGCAACTTCAAAGAACAACAACAAAATCCAGATGCTTAGAATGCATGAGGGGAAGAGTGGAGCAGGTGTGATGGGAGAGGTGGGGGACTCGTGTTCAAGGAGTCTTGTGTTCAAGTTGTGAGGACCTGGACTTCATTTTGATTTGTCCTTTTAAAAAGCTGTTCCCAGCTGCTGGATAGAATGAGATTGTAGGAGGGAAACACAAACTGGAAGACTTTTCAATAACCCGGGCAGGCCAGGCACAGTGGTGCACACTTGTAATGCCAGCACTTGGGAGGCTAAGGCAGGAGGATCACTGTGAGTTCAAGGCCAACCTGAACTACATAGTGAGAGCTTATCTAAAAAATCATCATCATCATCATCATCATCATCATCATCATCACCATCACCATCACCATCCAGGCAGGAGGTGTAGTGGCCAGGAGCAGGGTGATGGCGGTGGGGTGCCGGGAAGGGGCTGCACTGTCTAGCCGTGCTGTGGGTGTGGGGCTCTAGGAGCTCCTGGCAGGTCTCTGGAGAGCTTAGCATATGGTCACATGACATCATCTCTGAGGGTGATGGGCGCTGCTACCTCTGCGTGGGTGGCTGTCCCCTCTCTTTCCAGCGCTGGCCCCGGACTTCAGGCAGAACCCCGTCCGGCGTCTGATCCCAGCGGCCCGAGGCGGGGAGATCAGCATCGCCTGCCAGCCACGGGCGGCACCCAAGGCCACCGTGCTCTGGAGCAAAGGCACTGAGATTCTGGTCAACAGCAGCAGGTGCCGCTCGCCCCCTCCCTGAGCCGCCCCACCCATCTTCCTGGTCTCCCCGTGCCCTGGCGACCGTGTGTCCTCAGGTGGGCCAGATCTGCTTCGTCCTTGCTGCAGAGTGACGGTGACTCCAGATGGCACCTTGATTATAAGGAACATCAGCCGCTCGGACGAAGGCAAATACACCTGCTTTGCTGAGAACTTCATGGGCAAGGCCAACAGCACGGGGGTCCTGTCTGTGCGAGGTACGGGCTGGGGCTTCAGCCAACAGGTGCCACCCTCCCCGCCATCCTGCTCTGGCTCTGAGTCGCCCCGGATTCAGGATCGCTTGGACCCACGCCCTCGCCCCTCCCCAGCCTGGCTCTGGCTTGCTGCCCCGCCTGAGCTCACAGGGGTGCCAAGGGTGGGGACATCCGTCAGTCACAGTACTCCGCCCATCCCTGTGGTGCAGTTCAGAGCCTCTTGTCCCACTGTGTACCCTTCCCTGGGCTTTCTCCTCCCCTGGCCACCCAGAGGCGTGGTTTTCTATTCTTGTTTTTTATTTTTTGCAGATGCAACGAAGATCACCCTGGCCCCCTCCAGTGCCGACATCAACCTGGGCGACAATCTGACCCTCCAATGCCATGCCTCCCATGACCCCACCATGGACCTCACCTTCACCTGGACCCTGGATGACTTCCCCATCGACTTTGATAAGCCTGGGGGGCATTATCGGAGGGCCAGTGTGGTGAGGCCCCTCCCTGCTTCCAGGCAGACAGGGGACACACTGGGTCCCCAGCCACGTTGCCCAGGGCCCCTCCACACAAGCTTACCCTTGAGCTAACGAGCAGCCTTCCTGGACCCAGCCAAAGATCGTGCATTCAGGCGAGGGTTAGAGACAAACAGGATTCTGAGCCCCAGGTGGGCCCTCCTGCTATTGCTCTTGTTACCCCAACCCCTGTACAGAGGACGGTGTCCCTGGCTGTTCTGGAGCACACCTTGCTGCTTCCCCCATAACCAGACAGGAAAACTGAGAGTTAGGGACCCCAGACAGCAAAAAGCAGGAGACTCCTGAGCTCTGCTCTGTGTCTCATGGCCCACTGGGCCACTTTCTCTGACCTGCTGTCCCCCACCCCATGCAGAAGGAGACTGTGGGGGACCTGACCATCCTGAATGCCCAGCTGCGCCACGGAGGGAAGTACACGTGCATGGCCCAGACGGTGGTGGACAGCGCGTCAAAAGAGGCCACTGTCCTGGTCCGAGGTGACGTGGCTTCCCACCTGTCCCTGTCCCTGGCGCCCTTCCTGGCCAGCTGTGCAGTCCTGACTTGCTCGCCTGGCTATGCTCCTCGCCCTGAAAGCGATGGGGAAGGCTCCTGACAGACACCCTCTGGGCTGGACACCGCCACCTCATTAGTACCTCAGTGGTCTTTGCAGGCCTTCAGCAACTGGCACATTTTCTTTCAAAGTCAAATTTAAAGAAAAAACAATTCACGCAAGCTGGGCATGGTGGTGCACACTTGTAATCCCAGCACTGTGGGAGGCTGAAGTAGGAGAACTGCAAATCCAAGTGCAGCCTAGGTGACTTAGTGAGGACCCGTCTCAAAACAAAAAATTTAAAAAACACCCAGGGATGTAGCTCAGTGCAAAGGCCCTGTGTTCAATCCCCTAGTATTGAAGAAAAAAATCCACCCTTAAACATCCCAAGATAGTACTTTGCCTAGCTAGGTTTTCAAGCTTAATGCTGGAAGAGCTCTGCTGCCCATCCTTCTGTAAGGGCGGCCAATGTGAGCACTCCCAGCCGAGACATCCCTCCCACCACACCTAACTATGATCCCCCTCTCACCCGGTGTGTTTGCCTCGCCCTCTGCTGCCAGGTTTTGGTACTGCACCCGCCCCAGCCAGGCCTGAATCAAATTGAAAGCTACTCATTTCTGACCCACTGCGCTCTGCCTCTCGGTACAGGTCCCCCAGGTCCCCCGGGAGGTGTGGTGGTGAGGGACATCGGTGACACTACTGTCCAGCTCAGCTGGAGCCGTGGCTTTGACAACCACAGCCCCATTGCCAAGTACACCCTGCAAGCGCGCACCCCACCTGCGGGCAAGTGGAAGCAGGTCCGGACCAGTAAGTTGAGGCCCCACCTCTCAGAAATTTCAGCAGGCCACCTCTCAGGCTGGCTGTGGGAAAGGTCAGAGGGCCAGGCCTGAGGCAGGAGCTTTGAGAGGGACACGTATTGCCCTGGGCCAGCAGGAAGAGCCCAGGCCGGAAGGAGACTCATAGACGCAGAAGTGTGACAGCTGGGAGGAGGTGCTCGGTCTGTGCCTCAGGGAACTGAAAGGGTTATTGCTGGAGCAGGGAAAATAGTCATGGGTGTGGGGTGCGCACAGCATTAGCAAGGGCACCAAGGCAGCAGTGTTTACTAGTTTCTCAACCATTTGAGAAAGAGGTGCTGAGTATTTAGCATATGGCCCACTCCACAGCAAAGACTGGGTACCAAGAGGAGGTTCCAGCAGTGCCTGCCAGCTGCATGCAGAAGAATAAACGCATGCTGCCCTGCGACTCCCTGGTGCCTTACAGATCCTGCCAACATCGAGGGCAATGCTGAGACCGCCCAGGTGCTGGGCCTCACACCCTGGATGGACTATGAGTTCCGGGTCTTAGCCAGCAACATCCTGGGTACCGGCGAGCCCAGTGGGCCCTCCAGCAGAATCAGGACCAAGGAAGCAGGTCAGGGGTCTGGGGGTCCGTATAGAGCTTTCAGCAGGACAGAGACTCTGCCCACCCCATACAGGGAACCCCAAGGGAGCAGCCATTGTGAAGTCTCAACCCTGCTCACCTAGTTTTTGGTCTTAACAAAACAGTGGGGAAAGGGCACCCAGTTGGGACAAGTACTGCTGCATGGATGAACCACCTGGGACAAATCCCTCATTTAACAATGGAGCCAACCTGACATATGATGTGAATCTATCATTTTTTAAGTTTAATTTTTTAAAAATGGGAAAGGCAAAATTTGGAGAAGGGTCACACTGGCAGAGCCTAGACTTGAACCCAGGACCCTGGGAGGTGGGGAGATGTCCTTCTGTAAGGGCGGCCAATGTGAGCACTCCCAGCTGAGACATCCCTCCCACCACACCTAACTATGATCCCCCTCTCACCCGGTGTGTTTGCCTCGGGAGAGGCAAAGACAAGCATATGCAGTAGAAATCAGATACTTAGAAAGTGTGTGTGTGTGAGTGCGTGTATGTGTATGCGCGCAAGCACGTGCGCTGTGCGGGGGGGCTGGGGAAGCAGCCAGAGTCTCCACATTCTTGTTGAGATGGCTTCTTTGAAGTAGGAAGGAGTAATCAGGAAAGGCCTGTCTGAACCAGAGTGGGACAGGAGGTAGGGGTGAGAAGCAAGAGGAGGGGCAGGCACAGGCCATGCGAGCTGGGGGCCTCAGGCCCACAGGCAGGGATCAGGACCCTGCCGCCTCCTCCCGCCTACCCAGGCCTCAGCGCGGACATATGCGAGGGGCAGCCTTCACATCACCCTTTGCCTCGTTCCCCCGTGCTCCAGGCTGGCTTTCCAGGCTCTTCCTGGAGTCACCAGACCTTTTTAACTCATCTTTCTCCTAAGTAGGAAATTCCAGACAGGGCACCTTCCTCGACCCTGTCCAACCTGGAGATAAAGGGCTTCCTTTATTCTAGCATCCCAGGAGTTGATGAGCCCAAGGATAATGATGCTACAGAGGAACAATGCCGGGCTTTAAAGTCTAGCTGGGCTGCACATCAACTGTGTGAGCACAGGCTGGGCCACTAAGGATACCCACCTTGCAGGATCAAATGGCATCGAGTTTAAGTGCCCCTTGCAAAGTACAAAGCCTGAAGATGTCCCCCCCAGAACCGAGTGACGTTTCTGCAGGAATATTTAAAAAGTCAGCCAGGTTACTCCCTGCCAACCTGCAGGATCTGAAAAATACACCCTTGTTTTAGTGTAAAATACAGGAAAACAAATATAGGATTGTTTAATACAGAGAAATTAGAAAACGAAATCTTCCACAAAAAGAGAAATAGTAATACAACACCCTGGAGCCCAAAACAAATGCAGTTATTGTTTTGTTTCATTATTTGGTTGAATTTTTTTCCCCCATCAACTACAGTTCTGGGACATTTATTCCCCTTCATTTAAAGCAAGCTGGAATTGATTTCTGTGTTTTAGTTTAAGCCAACATGACCATCATTTATGCAGCACCTACTGTATGCTTGCTGTTCTCTCGGTCAGTTTCATTCTCATCACATCCTTTTAGAGAGACATCTTCATCTTAAGGGGGAGAGCAGAGGTACAGAGAAGTTAAGTTACTCAACCAAGGAGACACAGCTAGTAAATGGCAGAGATGGGATTTCATCCCAGGTCTGCCTGAGCCCAGGGCCCATGCAACACCAGGCACAACTGAAAGGTGCCTCATCCTGGGAGGGTCTACAGCCATAGGCTCAGGGCTTATGCTAGCCTGTTACCCATTAACAAGCCACATCTATGTCCCTCGGTCCCTGACAGTCCCTTCGGTGGCACCTTCAGGACTCAGCGGAGGAGGTGGAGCCCCTGGAGAGCTCATCGTCAACTGGACCGTAAGCTGGCAGGGACAGAGCACAAATGTGCCTTCACTCCACAGGGGACAGGCCTCGTTCCCCTCCTCCTCCCTGCTTGACTCATGCCCCATGCGATCAGTGTGCAGAAAGGCCTGCCACACAGCTCTGACTTAAAGGCTAAGAGCTCCCTCTCCCCCTTTCTTTTGCTGCCCTTTTCCCAAATCCACAGCAGGTTACACTAAAACCACAGCGGGCACAGCATTCTGGGGCTGCCCCTCTTGGTGAAGGTTGGGTGGAGCCAGAGGATGGGCAGGGAAAGCACCCGCGACCCCTCGCCCATGCCACGCTCTTGCCCTCAGCCCATGTCACGGGAGTACCAGAACGGAGACGGCTTCGGCTACCTGCTGTCCTTCCGCAGGCAGGGCAGCAGCAGCTGGCAGACCGCCCGGGTGCCTGGCGCCGACGCCCAGTACTTCGTCTACAGCAATGAGACCATCCGGCCCTACACACCCTTCGAGGTCAAGATCAGCAGCTACAACCGGCGTGGGGATGGGCCCGAGAGCCTCACAGCGATCGTGTACTCTGCCGAGGAAGGTGGGCACCCTGACCACCCTTGTGCCCAGCTGCTCGTCCACAGGGTGTGGTGCTATTCGTGCCCAGCTCTATGCAGGAGCAGCAGGTGGCCTCCTGGCTACTTTGTCTCCCCTCAGGGCTCACCTCCCAAATCCTAAGCAAATGCAATCCTGGCTGGGGCACTGCTCTGTAAGACACAGGGCTGTCCCAGGGACTTCAAACTCCTCTGTATTGGTCCCCAGAGCCCAGGGTGGCCCCTGCCAAGGTCTGGGCCAAGGGGGTCTCATCCTCAGAGATGAACGTGACTTGGGAACCTGTGCAGCAGGACGTGAATGGGATTCTTCTGGGGTACGAGGTAAGTACAAGCTGGGGCCTGGTCGGCCCTCTAGGAATCACCCAGGCACCAAGATGGCAAACTGTGCCCCAAGTCTCTGCAGCACTGTGGATACGAATGTCAGGGGGACCCCTGGCTGACACCCCTGGCAGGACAGATGTATGGGCAGCCTGCCAGGAAATGCCTGGCAGAGCCAGTGCTGGGAACTGGGGAGCCTGGGGAGGATAAGCAGGCCTGGGAAGGGGCACCGCCTGCTCCTTTCGAGCCAGGGCCCACCCAGCCTGGCATCTCCGGGTTGCACAGGGGACAGCATGATCCTGGGAACCCAGTGATCAGCCTGTCCCTAGGAATTCTGGGCCCAGCAGTACCTGGCCTGAGCCCGGGGCCTTCTCCTGACTGTAGAGTTGAAGGGATCAGGGACAGGAAAGCAGGAAAACAAGGAACATCATTGCCTGAGTGAGATCCTCTGGGTTGGCCCTCCAAGAAAAGGTGCAGATTCCCAGCAGTACAATCAGCTCAGACTTCAGACAGCTCATGCAGCCACAGGGGGAAGATAACTCCACGCTCTGCCTTGATTTGGAAGAGGTCTTAGTATTACAACTACTATTAAAATAGGTTTGAGTTTATTCGTCAGTCCTTAGCAGCTTACTAGGGGCCAGGGTACTACTGTATGAGTACAAATAATGCATTCATATCCCTAGCGGAATCCCCTCCATCACCAGCCTGAGTGCGATGGACTGGCCTACAGCAGGCCACAGCTAGGCTGAGCCTGTGCCCACCCCCGCTCACCCACCCACCTGCCCATGTCTTGAGCAATATTCTGAGACTGGGTGCCCTGCTGGGCTGCCAGTCCTGGGGACTCACACCCATGTGGCCCCGCTCTCTGGGTGCTCATGCTCTAGCATCCAGGTTCTGAGACCCAGGATGGAGTCACAGGACTCTGGTGAACAGAAGAAAAACTGAATGGGTTTGGGGGCAGGGCAGCCCTGGAACCTGGCCTTGGCACTGGCCCTAGGGCACCTCTGACCCCCTCAGATCCGCTACTGGAAAGCTGGGGACAAAGAAGCAGCTGCTGACCGAGTGAGGACAGCAGGGCTGGAGACCACAGCCTGTGTCGCGGGTCTGCACGCCAACACCAAGTACCACGTGACTGTGCGGGCCTACAACCGGGCAGGCACCGGGCCTGCCAGCCCTTCTGCCAACGCCACAACCATGAAGCCCCGTGAGTCTGTGCGAGGGGTGAGGAGGGGTGGGGGCAGGGTCCCAGGATCCCACTTCGGCCAAGGACCAGACACATGCTGCAGCCCGCCAGCTTTGGGCTAAGCAAGAGCAAGGCTATGAGTCAACTGAAAAAAAGGGGATAGTACTCACGGCCTCTCCCTCCTCCAATCCTGGATTTTTATGGACTTTGTTTCTTAGGCAGCCGCAACGGAATGTACTGGGTGAAGCTGCTGAAGGCAGCGCTCAGGAAGGGCTGGCAGGGGTGGGGGGCACAGGGAATGGTGTGGGAGTCTCTTCGACTCTCCCTCCCCTGCAGCGCCTCGACGGCCTCCCAGCAACATCTCCTGGACTTTCTCAAGCTCCAGCCTCAGCATCCAGTGGGACCCTGTGGTCGCTCTGCGAAACGAGTCTGCAGTCACTGGCTATAAGGTGGGGGACATGCGGAGCTGTGATTCATAGCAAGAGGGATCTGAGTGAGGCCAAAGCAAAGGTGGTGGCTTGAAGGAGAAACTACAAAAACGGGCAGATGGGGTCTGTCTTAGTTACTTTTCTCAATGTTGGGACAGAATTCCCGACACCCAAAGTTAAAGAGGGAAAGGTTTATTTAGCTCACAGTTTGTAGAGGTTTCAGTCTATAATCTGTGGGCTCCAAGGCAGGGTTGCATGGCAGATGGGCAACAGTTCATGGCCAAAAGCAACAAGAGGAAGGGAGAAGAGGAGACAAGCTTCTTTCTGTGCCTTATCTTATATGCAGGCTACCCGCCCTAGGGAGGGTATAGCACTTGCACCCTTAATCCCAGCACTGGACCATGAATCAATCACAAACTCTAGATCCAGCCACCTCGGAAAAGCCCACCCCTCATGACTGCATGAGGCTTTTGGGGGACATCCAGACACAAACCATAACAGGGTCCCTGCAAAAAGATAAGATGGGGCTAGCAAGCACCAATGGGCTAGGGTCAATCCTTCCAGCCTCAGGAGTCTGTAAAACCAAAGGAAGGGTGGCAGGCAGGACCCCAAAGGCCAGAACTCTGTGGGCTCCTCCCTGCTGTAAGGAACATCTTTCCACAGATGCTGTACCAGAATGACTTACACCCGACTCCCACACTGCACCTCACCAGCAAGAACTGGATAGAAATCCCCATGCTGGAAGACATTGGCCATGCCCTGGTACAGATTCGGACCACAGGCCCTGGAGGGGACGGTATCCCCACAGAAGTCCACATCGTGAGGAATGGAGGTGAGGACCCTTCCCCAGCCTTATCCCCCAGGAGTATGAGGGTCCAACCAGACCACCCAAGTCAATTCCAACCCAAATTCCAAAGGGAGAGGAAAAGGCAGGAACCAAAGTAGTGTGCTGACCAAGACTTGCCCATCCCACTGCCCTTTGCCCTCCCTTCCCGCGGGCCAGGGAAGTGAGGCCACATCTTCAACTGGGTCCAGTGGGAGGCTGAAGACAAACAAGGGCCCAGCCAATGCTGCAGGCATAGAGCTGAGGATGCCACCTCACTCCCAGGCCAGCACCTGGTCTCCAGTCTTAGGAAAGGTCTGGATCCTGTCTTGAGGGCAGGACTGGGTGGTCCCAGGCTGCACTGACCCAGCCCCACATCCCTGCTGCTGGTTTCAGGCACAAGCATGATGGTGGAGAACGCAGCGGGCTGCCCGGCCCCATATCCTGGCGCCATCCTCTTCCGTTCTGTGGTGATGCTCATCCTCATAGGCTACCTGGAGCTCTGATCTCAGAGTCCCTCCCTCCGCAGCACAGCCAGCCACTCACCCCCATGGACACAGCCAGCTGGCCCTGGCCCCTTCCTGATGCCAAGATGGCCCGACGCTGTGCTGAGAGGGGTTGGTTTGAAATGCCTGCTTTAAATAGTACCCTTTTGTTGGAAGCAGAATATTTTATATTCTGCCACAGGACAGAACCATGCAAGGATATTTTCCTTAAATTGAGGCATCGGGCAGTGACTTCCATGGTGATGCTGAGCCCAATGCCTGGGCCCCTTGGGGTCCTGGGTGGAAGGAACAGGCCTATTGGACAAAGGGGTTTTAAGATTCATCTTCAAAGCAGCAGAGATGGCACTCTGAGACTGCATGTGGCTCTGCCACCTGACAGAGACCTGGACCCAGCAAGACACCAGGCAGGAACAGGCTAAAGAAGTGGGACAAAGCAAAAACATCAACTTCCCTCAACTAAGGAGGGCAAAGCCTGGGACCATAGCTTCCTCTCCTCCCCTGAGGAGTGGCATGACGGGACCTGGCATTGTCCTCCATGACTCCGAGCTGCCCTCTCTGCCCTGGTGGCTGAGACCCAGAGCCCTGATGCCCAGGGCCAGGAGCCTAGACTCCTTCAGGGTGAAGGGATGGGACTCCAGGCTGCCGCAGGTGAGAGCTGCCAAGTGTTGAGAGGCTGGGACCCCTCGTAGAAAGGGGCGCCTGCCCGGGCCTGAGGCATGGTCACCATCCAGGTGACACTGCCTTCCCAGCCAGCACTGCCAACCCAACCCTGTCACCCCAAGCGTGACAGAGCCACTTCAGGTGGCTGGGTGACTAAAGGGCTTGTTTTGAGGAGCCCCCCACCAAGACCCATCCTGCACAGCTCCCACCTTCCTCCAGCTCTGCCTCCGACTCCCTGGCCCAGCTGCCAGCCGCAATGCAACACGCACTCTGTCCTTCCTTGTCCTGAGCGTGGGAGGCTTCTGAGCAGGCAAGGACCGACATGGCCCAGGAATTCTCTGGACTGCTGGGTGAGACCCGCTCTCCAGACTACTCGGACCACTCTTCCACATTCCCAGAAGAAAAGGGGATTAATAAAGGGACAGCCTACCTTGAACTCAGGGTGTATTGCCAGTCACAGAGCATTGGGGCTGGAAGAGGCCTGACAGCTCGACTGATCACAGCCTGTACTTCACAGATGACGAAATGGAGGGCCAGCAAGGGTTAGGGGCTCCTCCAGATCACACAGCCTGTAAGCGGCAGGGCTGGGAGAAGAACTGAGTCTCCTACCTGGCTGTTCGAGGCTGTGTGTATGCAGAAGAGGCATACACACAGGAAGCAGTGCTGGTTGGCCTCGTCCTGGCTGCGAAGGTGGCTGAGGCCACAGAGGCATGAGCATCCTCGAGGGTTCAGCTTGGTGACCGCGCACATCAGGCCTGGTGTGGCTCTCAGTGCAGTCAGCTTCCTGGAGCCATCCAGGCCCTCTGCCTTCTAAGCCTGGTTTCTACGGGAACTCAACCTGCTGCGCTGGCTTGACGCCCTTGTCCCTCACCCTTGCTGCAGAAAGAGGTCAAAGCAAGGATGCTACATGGAGGCTACAGTGGCAGTACAACCAGAATCCCTAAAGCCTGCACTGTGACAGTGGGCTATTCACACTTGGGAGCAATGGGACAGGCATCTGGAAGGGCATTTGCCCCCAAAGCACCCTGAGCCTGTTTTCTGTAGTTTACAGTTAGAGCTCTATTTTGTTATGGTTTTTAAACTTCTAAGTCCTGCTCTATTTTGGGGGGCAGGTTTATGTTGATGTTCATCCACAATTTTTTAAAACCGTAAGCTCACCTTCTCCTCTACTCCCAACTCCACCTGCCCTAGGCCCCCTCGTCTGCTCCTCGCCCCCACACATAAGGGTGCAGGGGCTCGGCTCCTGGCCATTCTCTCTTGCAGGGAACTAGATGGCCTAGCATCTGTCCCTTGCTGGCTGGGATCTGACCCATGCCCAGCTGTTGGAAAGGGGACAGTGAAAGAAAGCAAGCTGCTAAGCTTTGTCTGATTCTCTGCCCATTCCTCAGCTTCAGCAGGCAGGCAGGGAGCAGGTGTCTAGTTGCCAGACTTGGGGATGATCTGGCTTTCACAGGACCTAAGCTTGCTTAAAGAAATACAGCCAAGAACTTCCTTCTAATGAGGTACATGAGAAAGAGGAAGGCGGATCTGCTGGGAGATCCAGGGGACATATTTAACCAGGAAACTCTGACCGCTGTGCAGGCAGAATTTGTTTGGGGATGTAGAACTATACTAAAGGCAGATGATCCTGCAGCCTGACATTCCAGATAGGTTTGATAAGACAGTAGGTGACTTGAGGACATGCATGCTTGCAAAACCCTCTTGCCGAGGTGGCTTGGACATGTGTTTGCTTGGAGGAGCAGACCAGACTATATGGCTTCTTAAGAGTCTCTTCCTGCCCAAGGGTCTGCTACTTTGTCTTCTCTGCTGAGATGGGCTGGGGGAGCTGACGGGGGTTCAGTCCCTATCCCCGGAGTCACGACTCAGTCCTAGATTCTCCACACTAAGCCCCAGAGGAAGTGGCCAGGGAGACGACCACAGACAAGTACGCTGCCTGAGAGGTTAGTGGCCTGTGAATGACCAGAAGATGGGACAGCCAGCTAGCAGACACCTATTCAGAGGCCAGGGAGACAGGTGCCCATCTGCACACACTGGGTCTGGCTCCAGGTTTGGCTTTTGGGTTCTTGTGGTTTAGGGCAGGGCAGCTCTCCCCAGAAGGAGTCTCCAGGCCTTCAAGGTTGTTTCTACTTTCATTCGGGGCAGAACTAACACAGACTGTGTCAGGAAGTGGCAGGCCATGGGGGCAGGGGTGGGGCTATCTTCTTCCTTATTTGATAAAGTAACAACAGGAGAGACAGGAATTAGATATCAGGGAAACTTCTGCAATGAGACCCTGGAAAGAGTTCAGTGGCCTCTTGTCTAGGGAGCTTTAAGTTTTCAGTTTCATTGAGAGGTCTGAGCCACATGAACTTGTGACGTGAGGGGGTGGGAGATGCCTGAAGTTCTTCCAGAGCTGAGATTCTTAGAATCAAGTGCTGAACACAGGAAATCTTGCAAAGGCCATCTGCTGTGGTCCCTGCACCTTAGAGGAAGCCATAAAGGGGGAAGGCTCACCCCAGGGATTGCGGTTACCACCCAGTGCCTTCCCCAGTGGGCACTGCCCCTGGGCAGTCCCAAGAGCCATCCACCTGCACTCAGGGCAAGAGCTCAAAAGTTAAGATGGCTGAGGATGTGTGATTCCCCTCATCCCTTTCCCCTGTCAAACTGAGACTGCCAGTGGGGCTCCTGTGTGTCAGAGGGGACAGCAGTACTCTCACACCTGTGTCACCGGCACAGGTGTGGTGCCATTTCCCTTCCTCGGACTGAACCTGGGCCAAAGATGGGTAGGAAGGATCACAGGGCATTTTTCTAAGGGACTCCGAGAGTTCTGCAGAAACAGGCATCCGGTGGGGTGAGGGCACCCCATGGACTTATACATGTGGCCATTAGCTTTGGAAAGGCAGGGCATAAAGGACAATTGAAGAGGAACAAAAAGGGTCAGGTGGCTTTGCCCAGAGCCCCAGGAGCCTCAGAGGCCTAAGGCATTTTGTGCCCTTAGATGGGATACATCCTCTCATGGCCCAAGATGCCAACTGACCACCCACGTCAGGACCTGCATAGCTTAGAGCTCAGGGTGTGGCACACGCCAGGCCTTTGCTGGACCACTGATTTGAAGGATTCTGTTCAAAGGATGCCACCCACTGGCCCCTGAGTTTGCTCTTGTACTTCTTGTAATGGTAGCTATTTACTGAATCTGGTAGCGGGCAGTTCTTAAATAAAGATGGTTTCTCAACCTGCTGAGGCGGCTGCCAGCAGCTGTTTTCTCACCCGAGCTGAAGGGTACCGCCTCATGCTGCTCTGTGGCCCTCTATTGCGTCCCCCTTCACATGCTCCCCTCTCAGGAAGTTACAACACACTCCATATTGCTGCACTCATCCTGGGGGGAAAATTCACTAAGCCAGCAGACCCAGGCAGGTCATGGAGTACAGTGCACACTCTGCTAGTCTGGGCAGGCTCTACCTAACACAGTGGCAGTAAACACACATTTCTTGAGTCACAGAAGTGCCTCAAGGTTCCTGATTCTTAAGACGTATGAGGTGTTGACTCAATGGTCCCAGGGGAGGGTCTTCTCCCCGCAGAGACCAGTAACCCCCAGCTGGTGAGAATGCCTCGTCTCTGCTGCCAAAGCCCTGAAATTACTGCTCAGGTCCCAGCCTCGGTACTGTCACACGCACAACACCATCCACCTAGCTTCTAGGCCAGGTATGAGCAGGAATCCATACACTCAGGGAGCCCTGGGTTTGACGTTTTCAGTGCAAAGTGGATGGGGTGCCAGGCTGGGTCCCACAGGATTTCTGAGGAAGAGGGAAATGAAGGTGAGTGGAGCCTCTACTCAGTCCTTACTTAGCATCTTGCCCAGGGCCTGTTCAGCATGAGAAGGGGCCCAGACAGACGCCAGTGTGATGCCCACAGCAGGGTCATCCCTTCCACTTGGCACCCAAAGGGGGTGCTGGGAGTACAAGCCACTGTAGAATGCAAATTCTAGTCCAGTCCGCTTTTCAGAGGCAGATTATATGCACAGAACGCCTTGAACTGAACTGGGTTGTTTCTTTACTAACACACCTGGAAGTCTTTTGTTCTCTTGCCTGCTCAACCCCTTCACATCCTGAGTCAAAGTTCAAGAACACAGGTTATTAACTAAGTGGTGTAACAGTGCATCCCACACCTGATAGCTAGCTTGCAACAGAATGGTGGAAGTTATTTACCTCTTACTAAGTCTCAGTCTCTCCATCTGCAAAATGGGAAGCAGTATGCCTCAGTAATGTAATACTGAGTTCATTACATCTGAAGTATGATACTGTTTCATGGGCATCTTCAGCAAACTGTCCAGAGCTGAAATAAAGTGGGTCATTAACAACTTTCCTGAACTCAGGTATGTCAGTTTACACAGCATTTTTCCTCCCACGGACTCACCAGCCCTCACAATCACTTGTTTCAACAATGCGGCCTTCAGAACCAGGACTTCTGAAACCTATCCCCTCTGATGTAAACAGAGAGGAGGGCAAGAGTGTGTGTAAAGTTTAAGATCTTTTCAAGCAACAGTAGTATTAAAGACAACTCTCTCTGCATGGGCCTAAGCTTCTGGTTCTCAACTGTAGCTATGTATCAGAGCCACTTCTAAAACTTTTAAGACGAAGATGCTTTGAACTCATGTCTCTCCATATGTAGCGTATCATCAGTAGTGGGTCCACTGAGTATTATACATTTTCTGATGGGGTGTAGTATAGATCTAGGCAGGGCTGTTGTCAAAGATGCTTGTGATTCATTTCTCAGGAGGCTGTGAGGAAATGACAGATGTAGACTGTAGGACACCATTCAAGACAACCAGACTAGTCAGACGCTTCAACCAAAGTTGTCAGAAGTAAACATAATGCAAACAGTCTGCCTGTTGAAAGTAAGAGTTAAGGGGGAAAAATGAAGGCAATATATGAAGCTTTTTCTCATCTTGGATCAAAAATTAAATCAAGCTGCACAGAGTGATGTGTCCCTGTCATCCCAGCACTCAGGGAAGCTGAGGCAAGAGGATCACAAGTGCGAGCCCAGCCTAGGCAACTTACCTACTTAGCCTGTCAATCAATCAATCAATGAAAATAAAAAGGTGCTGGGAATTTAGCCGAGTGTGAAGGCTCTGTAGTACTGCCAGTAAGTAAGCTTTAAAAGTTTCAAAACTGGGGAAACTGGATATAAGCTCTATGTAAGACTGAGACTTGCTCATCTTCTAGGTGTGATAAAGGTACTGTTATACAGGAGAACATTCTTATTAAGACACACATATGTGATGGGAGGCTGAGTCAGGAGTTCAAGTTCAAGCCCAGCCTTGGAGACTTAGTGACAGCCTGGCTCAAAAACAAACAAACAAACAACAATAAAAATAAGTAAAAAGGCCTGAGGATTTTGCTTAGTACAAAAGCCCTGGGTTCAATCCCTGGCACTGCAAAAAAAAGAATAAAGCATTACAATATCTGTGACTAGCTTTCAATGGTGCAGCAAAATCAATATATATTTAGAAAGATAATTGAAAAAAATACAAAGGAATCTTACCAACGGGTCTATGGGTGGTCACCAGACCTTTCAACTTTTCTCTGAATTTGAAATTTTTTAAAGTTAAAAGTAAACAACAGAATCCCTTTGACTACAAGGCAAACTGAACTGGTGTCTTTAGGGGCTCAGGAATGTGTTTTTCAACAAGTCGTCCAGGTGATTCAGACACAGGGCTGGAGAAGAGAACTAGGCTTTGCTTGCTGCTATTCCTCCTAAGCTAGACAGAGGTCACGGAAGAGATACTGTTTCTCTCAGCAGAATTAGCTCAGCTGGCAGCCAAGAGCTTTCCCCCAGTGGCTCCATAAGCCAATTATCTCAAACACAGTCTGAATGGCCACCAAGGGTCCTCAGAGTGGATTGCCCACACAGGAATGAAGGAACCAGTCCTCCTTGGGGGCCTTGGCTGCTATAAGAAACCAATACACTTGACCTTTCCAGACAAACAAACTTCAGGGCACTGAAAGGGTGAAAAAAAAAAGGAGCAGGGAAAAGCCAACTGTTTCATGATTGGGTGAAGGATCTTGTGTTTTCCCAGGAAATTCAATTTAACAGTGAACATAAAGGGTTCACCTGGGGAGGGCAGGGAAGGCAAACAATTCATTCACATTCAGTGACTGGCTATTAAATACTTGAGTCAGGTGTCCTCATAATAGCCTCTGCCATGTATGGGCACATGCCCTGCACAAAGCAGACAATCTGCCCAATGTCTAGTCTAAGAAACCCAAGGAAAATGAAAGCCAGAATGGTTAAGAGACAATGTAAACAAATACAAGAGATTTTAAAACAAAGAGCAAGAAAGGAAAAAGGTTAGGTTTCCATATAGCTATTGTGAATTATTTTTATTGAAGAGGGAAAAATGAGCTCTCACTAGAAAAGCTATTATTACATCCTTCTACATGAATACACTGCCTAGAAGAGGGAAATGGAGGTGGAAGGCATACAAGTTATAAAGGGTAGGAGATGAATGCAAGCTTGGAAGATAATCTCTTCCCAGGAGCCAGGGCAATGCTGCAGCACCTAGCAGCAGAGAAATCAAGAAGAGATCCATCTGGGATACAAAGAAGCTAGAGATTGTTGCCAGGTTACCATGAGGCAACACCTCCCCATCCCTCATGCAGTCTTTTGACCAATCTACTATCAGGCAGCCAAAACACTCCATAAGAAGCTAGCCTGGCTTCCTGGGCAGCCAGTAGCTCAGGAACAAGGATTTTAAGCTCTTGTGGCTGTCACTGTTGTAGGTCTCCCTCAGCACCCTGCAGAGGGCTATGCTCACCAACACGCCACCTATCACTCCTCCTACAGTTCCTGCCACCAAGGCTGATGTCACCTTCTTTTGCCACCTGGGGCGGTAAGGCTTAGAATAATTGTCCAGATTAACTTCCAAGCCCTCATCTATTAACTTCTGCTCCTCAGTAAGGGACTGATGGAAATTCAGGTTCACCAACTTTGGAGGAAGTACCCTCAGCCCAAAGTAGAGCCTTTTGACGAGTCTCAAGTTTTTGAGCAGTTGCACATCACAGCGGTATGTCCCAGAGTCATATTCCCGAGCAGGTCTAAATTTCAGCAGATGAGAGTTGGCTCGGAAGGGTTTGAAGACTTCATCATTTGTCGAGATGATACCCCGAGCAAGTCTCCAGGTGAAGCGGAATGCTTCCTTCCCAATCTCCAGGATGTCTGAGCTGAGACAGTTAAGCTCAAACTCTTCCCCAATGAGCACAGTGAAATGGAGCATTCCGCAGATCCAATTGGTCAGACACTCCAAGCGCTGGGATGTACATTTCCTCCTCACCCCATCAGGGCCCACTTCACAGACAGTCTCCTCCTTATAGCCAAGGCCACAGGTGACGGTACAGGTTGTGGCATTGACAATAACTTTCCCTACAGCTTCCTGCAGCTCCTTAGGGATGGCCAGTGTTTGAGGTGAGGTTGCAACCAAAGGCAGGTAGACAGACACCACCAGGCTCCCAGTGATAAAACTCGTGGCCAAAGTCTTCATCGCTAGTAGGCACTGCACCACCTTGGCCAACACCCTCCAGGTATTCCAGGTCAGTCCTCCAGTGTGGTGGCTTACCTCCTCCAACATCAGAGATGCATGCATTGTCAGTAAAACAAATGCTACCAAGTACACTAAAGTTCTTATTCACAGGCAAGTTCCAGTTCTTATTCAAACACAAGGCCCCAAGGCAGAAAAAACAAAAAGTAGAAAGCAAAAAGAATCAATTCTCACTTTACTATCTATATCCTTTTCAGAGCCTCTTAATGAATTTAAAGAGTCCTCTTGAGAAGACAAAGGTGAAAAGACTTCCGGAGCAGAAATGAATTTCCAAATTAGCCCAAAAGCATGGTGAGGTTACACTCTTCCTCACCCAACTCCCCTGATCCAAATTGTGGGATCTAAATGAAGGGTTTCAAAATCCCAAGTTAAATCTGACCAAAAAAGAAAATAAACACTGTAGTCTGAAAAAACCAGAATGTAACTTGAATTAAGTTCAATACCTTATTTACTGGTAATTTTCCTAAGCCTTCTATAAAAACGATTAACTCTAGACTGGAAGGTAAATGACTTCCTGAATTTCTATTTCCTCCTTTGTAAGTGAAGACCCTGCATTTTTCAGGAAGATCACCTTGAGCTTCAAATGATACAGTGCACACGAAAACACTTTGTAAAGTGTCAAATACTGTGTGTAAGGAATTTTAAAAAGAAGTAAAAACTCACAAAGACAAGGGGCCAAGACACTCATTCAGATTAATGAAAGAGGCTACATCAGTGGCAGCACCTCTCCCTCCTGCAGGTAGTCTTCTTTCCCAAAGAGGCCAAAGACATCTGCTGGACGGGAGGACTCTCGGCCTACAACCTCTACCCTACAGAACACAGAAACCTGTCTGCTTAGGTCGGTGAGGTTGCTATGAAACAGCTATGATGTCAAAGATGGGTTCTCAACCACTTGACAAAAAATTAGTAAGCAGATACTCATTTTGGGCATTGGTTAAAATCAAACCAATAAACTTTATGAAACACCTTACTCTTTAGCAAACAGTATTCAATGGGCTTTAAAGCTAATTTAATATAGGAAAAAAAAGACTAAGTTTTTACTGTTTTAAACAAAGAATGACCCTACTGACAGGCATTTTTATAACCTCTAGAATGCCCAGCACTAGAGTCTCTTTAACTACACAAATTTACACTGAAGAATCTGAAGAGCCCTCATTCCTAGATGATCTTTCGATTAACAGCAACTCCTGATTCAAATCATTTACTTATAATCCTGTCTAGAGGCAGAAATTTAGACACTCTGTCCACCCACTACCCCTTCCAGCTCTGCATTCCCACAAAGAAAGCTCTAATGTCAGTCCAATAAGCTGCATTTCCATGGAGGTGAGTTCCAAAACCAATCTGTGTTTACAGTTTTTTGGTTTTTGTTTTTTTTTTGTATCAGGAATTGACCTCAGGACCTTGGACTTGCCAGGCAGGCACTGTGTCATTGAGCTACATTCCCCCAGCACCAGTCAGTGTTTACAAACACACATCTACACATGTTCTTTTAATAAACATCCGATTTTATTTACAAAGCATTAAAGCTTCAGCAAGAAATACCCAAGGCTAAGTCTCATCTTGTACAAAACTACTGAACATTTAAAAAAACAAAATGGCGGCTGGGAAAAGAGAAAGGTGAAAAAAAAGAATATACATATAATACACAAATTAAGAAATGAAGTGGACAGAAGGTTTTAGGAGCAGAAAAAAACATTCCCAGAGCATAAATAACTATTAGGAACTGCTGCCTGAGACAATCTGACAGGGCTTACGCTGATTTTCTCAGTAGCCAGTTGAGGAGCTGGACATAACATGAACACTCAAATACACAGTGGAAGAAACCAGCTACTTCCCACATGGCAGTCAGGCAGAAACCCTGTGCGTCACAGCTGCACACAACTGTGGTGTGCAGTGTTGACAAGTGGAATGGGAATAGTGTCTGCAAAACAGAAACACATCTAGGGAGCCATCTAGCGACCTCAGCCCCTGGTCGAACTCACACGAAATTCACAAAATGATTGCTTAAGGAAGCAGCAATGGCAATTAAAAATGGAGAAGTTATACAACTGATGCTGGGAGAGCACTTTCTTAGCTTCTGATCATGTGTGTGTGTGTGTGTGTGTGTGTGTGTGTGTGTGAGATGAAAGATGGACTGGGACAAACAGGCTCTTGTTGATGTGTTTCACTTTGATTTCTAGCCTACAATTTAAAAAGAAATCAACATGTTTGGCTACCTAAAGAAGCATCCACCAACCAGTAGATTTCACAATAAGCACAGCACCGAAACTCCCATTTGAAAATATTGAGAAGATGATGATCCAAGGCAAGCACTTTTGATCAGCTAAAAACTACCCAGAAAGGCTACTCTTTCCACAGCTGGTTTCTTGACTCTGGATTTTCAAAAAATTTCCAACACCTAATGTACACATCCATCCAATCTGCTACTTTTTAATTAAAGAACAGCAAAACCAAAAAAAAAGAAAAGATAAAAGCTAAGCAACCTTTCACAGAAAGGAAGTGACTGAAAATACAGTAAGATAAAAGAGCATGGACACAGGACAGAAAGCTCTAATGACTGATGGGGACAGCTTTCCACAGGCGATGATAAAAATTTTACCTTGATCTCTGATTCAAACTATGTTGTTCCTGCTTTGATTGTGGGGGTATCTTAGTCCTTGTACGGGTTCCCCCAGTCCAATGAAAAAGAAACTCGCTGAGAAACACCTTGGTTTTTTTCCAACTCTAGAAGTCAGCACAGGTAAAATAATAAAAACTGCTGATGACTTTTTGCTGGAGTTGGATAAAACTAGTTATCTTCAAAAACCATGATTAATGAGACTGAATCAATACTGGAAGAAAACATGCAATGCAAGGAAAAACTCTGAATCTCTCATAGTCCAGCTTGTTGAGCAAAATGTAGTATGACAGGAAGAGGGAGCCTTCTTATCTTCTTTTTCTGCATATCTGAAATCTTTCAAGCATTTTTTTATTGCCGCCTTTGTATGTAGCATGGAAATATAGGAGCTATCTGGGAGAGGGTAAGTTTGAAAATCAAAGAAAGAGAATATGCAACAGAAGTTTTCCTAGGACATTGGTAGCAAAATCTGAGATTAGAACAAGTCACTTGAGGACATGCATCGAAGAGAGAAGGCAAACAGGAGATAGGAAATGATGTGTCAAAATGATGCTTGGTGCAAGAGTTGGATGAGCAAAACAGGAATCTTTTCTCTAGCAACACAACCAAGTGTTAAAGTATAAATGAGTCAAATCTCCTTTGTGATGTCTTTACAAATCCTCATTCCTGAGAGCCTATTTGGACTTATGCTTGAAAGGGAAGATCAGGGACATATGCATTTCTTCCATAATTCACTTCTTCATTCAATCATAAAATTCACTCCTTCCACCTCCTGGGTGGGAGGCAGAGGCCTTTGTTTTAAATTAAAGTCAATCTCAAATGACTGACCACATTGTCCAGAGACCACCCGATGGCATGGTGGGGATGAGCGAAGAGCTTCACGGCCTTCATAACAGTTCTGAGATTGCTCCTCCTGCTAGGAGATCAGACAAAAAAAATTTCTTTTAGCATCACCTTGGACCAGTTACTTTCTAAGAACAGAAATACAGATCTGGGTGATACATCACAAACCTACACGGTCAAAAAATTCCTTCTTTTAAGGAAAAGTTCTCATCAACTCTAATTCCCAATTGCTCTTCACTGAATCAACAAATAATCCAAATCCCAAATCCCCACCGCAATACTCTTCTCAGATCTACCCCAAAGGTTTGGGGCTTGGGTTACAAAATGGTGACACATTTTCTAAACTACTAACTCTCTCTAAGGTGTTAACAAATGATGCTTAACAATCTAAAGAGAGCAACAAACAGAAGGCAGGAAATTCTAGGGTGCCAAACCTGTCATATATTACACTACTCCTAAAGGATTAACTGAGCAAGAAACCCTTCCAACTTCCTTAAGTGACATCCTTTCAACTCTAGAATCCCAAATAAGGTGAAATGTTAATGAAAGTCATTGCCCACCTTTCTACACACCAACTGATCCATAAGTAAAACCCTGAATAATAGAATCAAAGGACCACTTCCCTGGTTATTCCATGGAAGCTGTTCAACCTCTGAGGGACATCCTTAAGTGAGCTGCTGTGGAATATTAACTGGGAAGCGTAAAAAGAGAACAAGATGAAGAAAACCCTGCTGGATGTCATTTGGAATGAGGAATAACATGCTGCTTGGACATAAAATGGTGACAAAATAACTGCTCAAGTTATGAAAGAAAACTACCTACTTATAAAATTGCTTTGAACCTAAATTTTGAAGTTTCACTACAAATAAAATGGGCAATATAAATATACTCACATTTTCCTGAGAACAGTCTGAAATTAGGGTAAGTTACAAACTCTATCGAACACTACATTGGGAAAAATCAAATTTGAACTTTTTATAGTTTAGTAAGGTTAAAAAAAATCATTTGGCATCTGTTTTTCAGATTAAGCCCAACACAAAATATAACAATAAACTTCCTGAGTTGATTTAAAAAATTTTTAAAAAAACTTCAGGTAAAATACACTCCAATCTTTGGTCTCACTGACTGTTCCCAGAGGTATACTGACTGATTTAGTTTTAACAGTTAAAACATGAACACAACATTGCCATTTTGGGCCTAAATCATGACGGGAAAAAGCAGTTTGGTTATTTCTTTTATTTTGTTTTTTGAGACTGGGTCTCACCATTATATAGTCCAAGCTTCACCATTACATAATCCAGACTCACCATCCTTCTGCCTCAGTCTCCCGAATGCTGGGACTACTGGCAGGTGCCACTACAGCCAGCTCAGGAGAAAGTGGTTTGACCATAAACCAACAGTCTTAATAATTAGCACTCAAAATGACTAATGAGTACCTTATTATCTGAGCAGCTCATCCTCAGTCTTGTGAATGGACATACACGTATGTACACGTACATACAAACCACTGAGGCATTAGCCAACACACTAAAACCAGAGCAAGCACTACTATGAGTGAGGTAATACACACAGAAACAGAAACAGCAACACAGAAGACCTCAACTGCCCCAAGGAAACACGTTATTTAGTTGCAACATACAGGAAATTTCCAGCAACACAGTATTAGGAAATTCAGTTTGAGATGACAGCTATCTTTGGTACCTCCCAACAGCTGCCCAAATCAGGTTGGCTCTTAGGCCCTAAGGAAACACTGGATCATGACTTTCATGCTCTACCCTGGTCAGCTAATATAGTCACACTGAATAAGAAAGAATACTCAACTGTTTCATTTCAGCAGGAATTCATAAACTAGTCTTCAGGAAGGGAAGAAGGAAACACCTCACTCACTACCAAGAATATAATAATCATGGGTCCGGTAAGTGCCAGATAGGTGGTTCAGAGCCCTTGGGTGGTAGGCCAACACCAGGTAGTTGTGCAAGCAGCACAAGGCAGGCAAATCTGCACAGTACCTATCTGCCGCCAGACATGGCATCTCTGCTCACTTCAGCCTTCATCACCCCCAGACCCAGGTTCACACTGACCCCTTCATGGCCACCATCCCATGAGGCCTTTAGACTATGTATATGACAAGCCACACCTTTGGGGCTGAGGAGCTGTTTGATAGGAAAGGCTTTCCCATATCTGCAGATTATTTATATGGTAGTCTATTTGTCCTCTATTTTTCTCTTGGAATGTATAATCAATCTCCAGTCACAACACAAAAGAGATTATGGCAGCTTTGTAAAGGCTAAACCGAGTTTAGGGAATGGGTTTTGCTGTAACTGGTCAGTTACAGAAATT